GGATGCTCCGAGCAGCTCTAAGGAGAATTAGAATATTGTGAAAAGGTTCAAATTCTAGGCTCAAAGTGTCCCACTCTAATCAGCTAATTAACCATAACACCTGCAAAGAGTTCCTGAGCCTTTAAATGGTCTCTCAATCTGGTTCAGTAGGAATTACAATCATGGGAAAGACTGCTGACCTGACAGTTGTGCAGAAAACCATCATTGACACCCTCCATAAGGAGGGAAAGCCTCAAAAGGTAATTGCAAAAGAAGTTGGATGTTCCCAAAGTGCCGTATCAAAGCACATTAATAGAAAGTTATGTGGAAGGGAAAAGTGTGGAAGAAAAAGGTGCACAAGCAGCAGGGATGACCGCAGCCTGGACAGGAGTGTCAGGAAAAGGTCATTCAAAAGTGTTGGGGACTTTTACAAGGAGTGGACTGAGGCTGGAGTCAGTGCATCAAGAGCCACCACAGTGCATTAAGAGCCACCATCCTGGACATGGGCTTCAAATGTCGTATTCCTCTTGTCAAGCCGCTCCTGAACAACAAACAACATCAGAAGCGTCTTACCTGGGCTAAGGAAAAACAGACCTGGTCTGTTGCTCAGTGGTCCAAAGTCCTCTTTTCTGATGAGAGCAACTTTTGCATTTCATTTGGAAACCAAGGACCCATAGTCTGGAGGAAGAATGGAGAGGCACACACTGCAAGATGCTTGAAGTCCAATGTGAAGTTTCCACAGTCTGTGTTGATTTGGGGAGCCATGTCATCTGCTGGTGTTGGTCCACTGTACTTCATTAAGTCCAGGGTCAATGCAGCTGTCAGCCTCAAGATATCTTCCACATCTTATATCTTCTGCATCCTATCTATTGCATCTTCTCTGCTGCTATGCTATACTATTTCTTTCGGCTGTCATTAGCAACGGGGGGAGGGGGAACTTGGAGGGGAAGAGAGCTGGAGGTGTTTTGCATTCCTTTGCTGTGGGTAGCAAGGGGAGGGGGTGTATGAATTCTTGTCTTTAACTTTCCATTTCTTGGCTACCTTCTATCTCCTTTGCGCAGCTGCGAAGTTTTATCAAAATATGTCAAGGTCAACGGACAGAGGCCTCATCACCACCTGAAGATGGCCACATGATCATATTCAGAACTTTTAATTGGAAGAGTCATTTGGACTTTGGGGGGTGGGAACAATTCCATTCCTTTGTATATGTGATCTGCGCGCCAATTCCTCAGATTCGGAATTAAATCTGTAGCTTCCACTTTGATTTCCAGTAAAAGGATAACTTTGCTCTAACCCATGGAGTCTGAGTATTTCTTTCTTGGATCTTGAAGGGAGCACACACTGACAGCAGCCGTCTACCAGGAGATTTTGGAGCACTTCATGCTTCCTTCCGCAGACAAGCTTTATAGGGATGCTGAATTCATTTTCCAGCAGGTCTGGGCACCTGCCCACACTGCCAAAAGCATCAAAACCTGGTTCAATGACCGTGGGATTACTGTGCTTAATTGGCCAGCAAACTCGCCTGACCTGAACCCCATAGAGAATCTATGGGGCATTGCCAAGAGAAAAATGAGAGACATGAGACTGAACAATGCAGAAGAGCTGAAGGCCGCTGTTGAAGCATCCTGGTCTTCCATAACACCACAGCAGTGCCACAGGCTGATAGCTTCCATGCCACGCCACATTGAGGCAGTAATTGCTGCAAAAGGGGCCCAAACCAAGTACTGAGTACATATGCATGCTTATACTTTTCAGAGGTCGGATATTGTTCGATGTACAATCCTTTTTTTATGGATTGCATGTAATATTCTAATTTTCTGAGATCGTGGATTTGGGTTTTTCATGAGCTGTAAGCCATAATCATCACAATTATGACAAATCACGGCTTGAACTACCTTGCGTTGCATGTAATGAGTCTATCTCATATATTAGTTTCACCTTTTAAGTTGTATTACTGAAATAAATGAATTTTTGCATGATATTCTAATTTTTTGAGTTTCACCTGTATAGCCATTTTGCTTCTTTCATCAAACATTTGTTCCTCGTAATGTATCATGTCACATACTGTGATTCTACTTGCATTTGATCTACTTCATTAATTTTCTCTTGAAAATATTCAAACTTATCTACTTGGACTAATTTTATACCATTTATGTATGATTTTCAATTATTCACTTCATTTGCCATATTAAACAGAATTACATTGATTTATAATGCATTTTCAGATCCATACTCATTGCTTTATTGAATTTAATATCCATTGCAAATCATTTGGATTTTCAACCAACATCATGGCATTGTTTGCATATAGAAATTCATAGACATTCACCTATCAACACCTACAAACCAACACCTCTAATATAAGCATACCATTTTCACATATGTTTTAATACATTTGTATGCATTTATCCTTAAACGTATTAAACAGTTGAGTTTACAGTTGAATAAACAATCATGTATCCCTTATCTTTCTCTCTGCTTGATGTTGAATTAGTAATTAATAATTATTTTTATTCATGCTTTGCTTTTGTTATATACGGATGTTATAACATTAAATAATCAACTTTCAACATTTTTACCTAATTCAAGCCCATTCATTAGTATGCTCTTTTTCTAAACTTTCAGGAAACTTTCTTTTAAATAAATGATCTGCTGAAGAATAAAAATCTGGTTGCATGTACTTCTACTATATAGATTGTTTCTACTACTACAATTTTGCTCACTGCCATCTTCTAGAATCTATACTCCCTCAACAAGAATTCTTCCAAACATTTTGCCAGGCACATTATAATTACCTTTCTCTTTGTATAAAAGAACAGTAATGCCATTATTCCAATGACACAGATGGAGTCCTCACAAACTCCAGTTATGACCATAATTGGGCCCAAAATACCAGTCATTGAGCAAAGTGGCAGTTAAGAAATATGTCATGTGACTACTTCTCTTAAGGACTGCAATCCCAGTTCTCTCATTGTAGTTGTTAAGTGGAGTGCTAGGAGAGGGTCTGGGCCTTCTGGGTGTGGTGGGGCATCATACTCAGGAGGCCTGGACCCTCTATCTGCCCACCAGGAAGAATAGTCATGAGAACGATAGCATTTGCTAGCATTTTCACCAACTTTGGAGTCTTAGGACACTAACAAATGCCATCATTCTGAAATGTTTAGAATACTGGCATTTTTGAGGGGAAAAGACTGGTAAATGCAATGCTTTGAGTCTTCCAAAATATTGGCGTTTGTTAGTGTTTTTGCCAGATTTGTGGTCTGTTTGTCCAGATTTCCAGAAAAGCAAAATCAATGATTTTCTCCAGAAGGGAAAATGATAGCAAATCTGAGCATTCTGGAAGGCTCAAAATGCTGTTGTTCGCTAGTATTTTCACCAGGTTTGAGGTCCCTTCCTCATCATGTGACAGGATGTTCCCCCCTACACAGAGGGGAGGGAAAATACCTCAGCGCACTGGGGGAATAGACCTCAAATCCAGTGTCCCTTCCACTTGGAACCATTCCTGCCAGCTTCCCTGTGGACTTTCTGGGGAAGCCAGAAAAGAAGACTGCAAAGGTGATCACATGATCAAAGGACACTTAACAACCTTTAATAAATGCAAATAGGATGCCAAGCACTCAAAATGTGGTCATGTGACTAAAGGCAGACAGCATGTTGTTTTACAGCAGCCAGAAGTTATTTACATATAAAGGTGGTAGGTATTCAGCCAGTTCTGACAGGTTCTGGAGAACCGGTAGCAGAAATTTTGAGTAGCTCAGAGAACCGGTAAATACCACCCCCATCTATTCGCTGCCTCCCAAGTCCCAGCTGATCAGAGTTCCAGCTGATTTGTTGGGTCTTCTTTTTTTTCTTTTTTTTGAAAATTTTATTTGGGTTTTCACAAAAAAAACCATGATACAAATAAAACATCTTTTTTTTGAAAATAGCATGGTCCCGGGTTACACTTCTTCATACAGACACAAACTCAATTTCATGCTCACTTTTATGTTCTATTCCATATCTTATTACTGTTTTACATTTTCTACATAGTTTTTCTCCTCTCTTAATTTTCTCAATTTTATTTTAATTATTTCATCTCAATTCAAATCATTACATTTGTACTTTTGTCTGTCATATTTTCTTTTCTCATTAAACAAATTTTCTCCTGTAGTTACTAATTGGAGTATGACACCTTTATATATTTTAATTTTATCCATTCAACTCTTATTTAAGGTTCAATATATATCTTGAGGTTATAACATTCAATATAATACATAACTTCCAATCAAATTCTGCTTGGTACATTCTTAAAATACACACTATATTTTTAAAAAGTGATTATAAATATATGTAAGTAAAACACTCATTCCATTCCAATTCAATTCTATCATTAATATTCATTAAAGTCTTAACATCTTTAACATTACTTTTCAATTAAATATCATACTTCCTTGGGAACACTTATAAGCTTTCCGTAATTAATTTTTTCCCCTGTTTCTCTTCCCTTATATTTTATAAAACATTAAATAATCTCCTCAACCCTGCTGGCAATCTCCCCCCTCTTCACCACCTCTACGGGGTAGCTTAGCCCCATAACCAGCTGGCTCGGAGCGCTCCAGCGGTGAGCATGGATTGAAACCGTGCACGATCGCGGTTTCGGTCTGTCCGCGAAGAGGCTCAAACCGGAAGTCCTTGTTGTCTTCTTTTGTTGCCTTGCACAGGAGAACAAAGCTGGAAAGCAGGTTAGTGGGGTCGGGAGGGAATGGGGATTTTACAGTATATCCACTCTCCTGGAGTGGGGTGGAAATGGGGACTTTACAGTATCCTTTCCCTACCATGCTCACCAAGCCACGCCCACAGAACCGGTAGTAAAAAAAAAAATTGAATACAATCACTGATTTACAGCCATAAAGTATTCATTCCCAGGAGTTGCTGGGTATGAATGGGCGTAAAACAATTGTAAGTCAAGGACAAATTGAATAACCATTTGATAAATAAATCACATCCATAAACCTCAGCTGCCTCCAATCTATTAACCCACCAGCTAGAAGATACATATAGTATATAAACCCATTCCACATACTTTAGTAAAATTGCTTACAATTAAAGTGATGCCTGTAAGTTTATAACTGCATTGTATTCATTCCCCATATTTGATACACAATGTGTCAATATTCCTTTCCATGTTTTTTCTGTTTCATTTAAGAACTGACATAAACCATTCAGATGGACGTTAAATAAGAAATGAATCCATTCCATTGCAGATGAAGCTGGTATACCAGACAGTTGCATATACAGTATGTTGATTTGCCATTTATGACTTTGAAGTAACGTACAACATGGAGAAATTTGACTTCAGTTGAATTCTGGCACAAAAATCGACTCAAGTAGCAGACAACATATTTAAAACATGTATTGACAATATATACATGCCTCTGGATAGTTGGCTTTTCACACTGTACCCAGTATTGGGCAGGGCTAGTTTTTCCAGTTGCCACTCCCATAATGCCTGGAACATGTCTCTGTGCTTTATTCATAATATATGACAGACTGAGAGCACTTTCTTAATTAACTTGTCTGTCTACGTTTTGGCTATTTGTATTTAATATAAAAATGTGATACAAGTAGTCCTCAACTTACAATAGTTCAAGTAACCGTTCAAAGTTATGATGTACTGAAAAAAGTGACTGTTTTTCACACTTACAATAATTGGTCATGTGACCAAAATTCGGATGCTTGGCAGCTGGTTCATATTTATATGATAGTTGCAATATCTCTTGGTCATGTGATCACCTTTTGTGATCTTCTGATGAGCAAAGTCAATGGGGAAGCCAAATTCACCTAACAACTTTGTTATTAATTTAACAACTTTGATGATTCACCTAACAACTGTGACAATAAAGATCATAAAATTAGGCAAAACTCACTTAATTTCTTGCTTAACAGCAAAAGTTTTGGACTCAATTGTGGTTGTAAGGTGAGGACTTCCTGTATTTGCCTGAAGATAAGGATTTTGTAACATACAAAACAAAGTTTTGCCAAACATTTATTGGACAGCAGGTATATTGGTAGGCCTTTGATCTACTCTGACATAATTAGCATCATAAATAATCATGTGAGCAGAATAGAACTACAGTAGGTAGATAAGACGTACTTGCAGCTTTAATTTCTTTATTTTTTGCCTTTTTTGGCAATTTGACATAGATTATAAAGACCCACTGTTACCATAAACCTAAATTCCCCCAGATAAAAATTTCCACCAATTATATTGCATCTTTGGATACACCTCTTATTGTTTGCCATTATTTTGCTGGTCATTTGTTAAAAAAAAAAAGTAAAAGGACTCTGTATGAGGGGAAGGCTTCTTGGCCATTAAGCCCACATAATGCATACAGCTTTCATGAAAAACTGTAGTTTACAGTCAGTTTTTTCCCCAACAGCAACTACAGTATAATAATAGTAGATTGCTTTTATAGAACTTCAGTCTATTTACAGTGTGTACTTACATGTTGTTCAATTCTTTTATTTCCTTGTTAATGTATGAAAAGATGATTAAAGGAAATGAAAAACATATGGAAAAAGGAATAGCAAAAGAATGTTATTGCACACTATACAGCCAATTTTTAAACAAATAATTACAACTTAATCATATGAAATAATATTCATTAGTACTTATTATGGTTACACTAAAAAGGAATGTCATGTACATTTTCCATGCTATATATAGACTGAAAAAAACTGGACAAGTGAAATTCATAATTGGCATTTAAAGATTTAGCTGGAATTTTTAATAAGAATATTTAAAATATTTCATTATAATTCAGTAACATATGAAAATGTAACATTAATTTTAGCATTTCTTAAGTGCACGTAGTGTATTTGTGTAGGTATATAACTATCTAGCTTCTACTTGAAAACATTTATAGGAAAGGAATCAATCACCTTTCTGAGTAACTGGAAAAGTTATTATATCAAGATATATTTAAAAGTGCATTGAATGCTGTGAAGATGGGTTAATTAAAAAGTGTATGAGATAAAGAAAATATTACAATTAAGAATGAATACATTATTAACATGGAGTTAATATGAAAGTATGTTAAGGTGGTTTTAAAAAATGATAAGGATTCAGTTGAAAAACAAAGATATGGATGAAGAATAAATCAAGCAAGAAAGGAAAGACAATCGTAGTTCGGTAAATTAATGAAAAAGATGAGAAATTGTGAAAAGGTAGTAGAGAAATCTATATATGGATGAGATGGAAGCAAAAAATGGTTCAAGCGTTTAAGTAAACTGGATTTACAGTAATTAACATTTCCTTTTGCTTATCTTACATCTTTAATTTATTTTGCTTTCTCCTCCATGCTGCATCGAGAGCCCAGGATGGGTTGACTCCTTCCAATGACGTCATTTAGTTGAGTCTGTACTAAGATATAAAAGCCAGCCCCCGGGAGAGACCCCAGCTTTTGACTCAGCTCCTTTCAGTCAGTAGCTGTGTCTCTGAAAACGTTTCTGTTAGAGAGCACTCACCAGCGATCTTCAGTACTTTTTTCCTCGCTTCAAGCAGCTCCCAGGGCAGCTGCTCTTCCAGGAGAGCAGGGCTCTCTCTCCTGCAACGTTGGGAGCAGCGTTACAGAGCTCTGTGCAGGCAAGCTGGGCAGCGTCTGTAGACCTCCCCCACGCCTGCGGTTTGGAGCGATCGGCAAAACAATCGGCAAACTGATAAGAGCACAAGTCAGCTGATCGTGTGGCTGGTTGCTCCGTTTTCCCTTGCTGATTTCGCTCGGGGCTCTGTATACCCTAAGGAGCGATTCTTCGATCTTGGAGCCTGTTTCCTGTAGTCAGTGGCCATCTTGGATTCAAGCCTTCCACCACGAGGTGAGTGGCCATTTTGTAAGCCCAGGGGCCATTTATACCCTAAGGGGCTTAATAGAAAAATTTCTAAAACAGCTTCTTTCTAACTCAAGAGCCTTTATTTTACAAATGGAGCAAGATAAGGCTCAGGCAGAGCTTTCCCCCCCAGTGGAACAGTCTCTTAAGCCCAATAAGAGAAAGACGTAGGCAACGCACCCAATCAGTCCAGAGGGAGGTGGCTGCTAAAATCAAAGCTAAGGCTCTAGCCCCTAAGAAGGCAACTCAGGCTGAATTGAGGGCAGAGAAGCGCAGACATGCAGCTCTAGAGAGGCAGTTCAACAGAACTGTTCAACAGAAGGGAGTGCAACTACAGCATGTTTCAGGTGATACTCATGGGCCCCAATGAAGCCCTCCCAGGGGAGGAGAAGTTATCTACGAGCCTTTCCATCCTCCATCCTGGTCTCCTGAGGCTCTTGCAGTACAATCAGATCCTCAGGATCTATGCAGATCTGGGCCTTATTTCCAACAGGCTTCTGTGCCCTATGCTCCTCCCCCTCCCTCCAGGCCTCGAACCTTTCCTCAATCTAGGCCTGAAGCCACCTTCACTCCCACAGCAGCGGGCCTTCGGCCTTCTGCCTCTACCTTTGAGCATAGACCAGGGGATATCCAAGATGTTGTCTCATTAGGCAGGGATTGGCTGAAGGCTTCAAGCAAATTCTTCAACCTCTGGAAAGGGTTCAGGCCCTTCTCCCTTCTCAATCTATAAGTTCCTTGCCTCATCATCCTGATTTACACAGGCCCCAGGACCTCAGGGTCCATTCTTCTCTACCAGAATGGGAGGAGGTTGATGAGGAAGGAAGGCCTTCACCATCTGAAGGCTTCACGATCAGTTACTCTTCTCAATCAGAGTGTGAAGAGGGTGAGATTTTTTGACCAAAATCTTTCAGAGGAAGAGGATTCTCGCCCAGAGCAGACATCCTCTGCATTGGTCTTCAAACCTACTCTCTTCAGGCCATTACTCAGCAAGGCCTTGGTCACTGCCAGGCTGTCGCCAGAGGAAGTGGCTCCCGAGCCACAAGGAAATCCCTCTAGCCAAGGAGATTCGCTCTTCTCCAAGCCTGTAGTGCATGCAGGGGTTTTGCCTTCTCCCATTTTGTTCCTGGACATGGTCAAGGAACAGTGCGCTTCTCCTTCAGCAGGTCCTCGCCCATCTTCTCTGGATAAGTGTTTCTACAATGTCAGCGCAGCTCTGGACAATGCCCTGGCAGTGCCTTCTGTTGACATTCCGGTTCTGGCCTCGTTCTCATCTTCTGGCACTCCCACAGAGCCAGAAGATATCCTGAAACCAGATGATAAACGCTCCGAACAGACCCTCAAGCGCAATCGCCAGGCCGCTGCTTGGCCTGTTCGGGCTTCAACAGCAGTATCCTTTTTCACGAGGGCATCCATACAGTGGCTGCGCCAACTCCAGAATAGATTGCCTGCTTCTGACCTTTGGTCTCACCAAGACCTTAATAAGATTATTCAAGTGGCGGAATTCACTGCGGATGCCACTCTCAATTCCGCCAAATTTGCATCCAAGGCCATGGCATCTTCTGCAGCAGCAAGAAGACTTTTATGGCTATGAAATTGGCAGGTGGAGTCACGCCAAAAATGGAAGCTGGCTTCAGTTCCATTCGCAGGCGATAAGCTTTTTGGCGATGCTCTGGAACCATATCTCATCGAAACCAGAGATAAACATAAAATTCTCTCTTCCTCTGGGAAGAAAGCCGACTATCGCCCTGCTCCTTATCGCCCTTCTGCCTTCCGAGCGGAAACCTCATCTCGCTTGCTCCGCTCTCACAGGCCGTAATGGGCGGAAGCTTCTGGCAGGCAACAACCTTCTACTAGTAAACGGCCCTTTTGGGGGGGAGGGGGTCGTTCCTTCCGTCGCTCTAAGTAACCCCTTGTTCTCCCCACCCATCGGAGGTCGCTTTTCTTTGCCTCCAAATGGGAGGAGTCAACAACAGACGCCTGGGTGCTCAGCACTATTAGGTCTGGTTACAATTGGACTTCCTAACGCCAAGAAATGTCTCTCGGGACATTTCCAGGCAAGCCCTTATGAATCAGGCCATTCAGCACCTTCTTGAAATCAGGGCTATTCAACCTGTTCCCCGCTCTCAACGGGGACGTGAGCTTTACTCTCGCCTTTTAATCGTTCCCAAAGCCTCAGGGGGGTTCATTTGAGCCATTCTTGATCTCAAATTTCTCAACCAATTTGTGAAATACAGGTGATTTAAAATGCAGACTCTGCATTCTATTTTAGAGAGCGTTTGGGAGGGCGACCTTCTCTCTTCCATTGATCTCACTGAGGCTTACCTCCACATCCCAATTTGGCCTCATCATCGCCAGTTTCTCCGTTTCTGTTATCAGAATACCCATTACCAGTATCGAGCACTTCCCTTCA